TCTGGTCCAGACACGACTATTTACAGACCGCCGTCATATAGCTGGAATATTGCTGAGTGCGGCGTTAAACAAACAAACAAACAAACAATACCAGAATTTTATAATTGTGGATTCGAATCCCACATTCGCACTAATTAAGATTCTGGAATATTTCTGAGTTAAACAACAAACAAAAAAAAAGCAAAAAAATCATTCACACATCTTAATATTCTAAACATCCATGAACAAGTTTCTTTATTTTTTACAAGCTGCCCGGCAAAAGAAAGTCTCTAAAAGACTTGACTAAAATATTACGAACGTGATCAAAACGTTACTAGGCTGAAAGAAGTCGCCAAAACACTGCAAACGTGAGATCCCAAACTATTGCAGCCGCTTTAAATACATCGTCATCGAATAATCATTTCATGTTTGTTGCCACCATCAACATGGATGTATACTTTCTTTTACCCGGCATTATAGTTTCTTCCATCTTTCTTTTTCAACATTTTTTTTTTTTTTTCGCACTTTATGGTTGAAGTATTGCCGATGTGACGTTAGATATTAACTCATTAACTCAATATTCTTCCCGTCTATCTTCTTCATCTTTCATCATCGTTATGCGTCTAAACCTAATTAGCTCATCATTATTGATACATTAACGATTGATGAAAATATCAACCACTTATTTATCTATTAATTCAACCATAATACTTTTTTAAAGTTATCGATTAATTTATTATTTACAAAAAATCAAATATGCTAAAACAACTCGTTACATCTGCACTACTGACGTTGACGTTTACCAAGGTCACCAAGAGGTCATAAGCGTTGGGCCATTTAACGCTCGCTTGCCATCTTTTTCCATATAATCTCATATCGTTCATCAGCTGCCATTTGTCCCATAACTGTACTTGACAACTGGTTGGAATGGCTGTCATTTTGACAGTTCTTGCTACGCGTGAAAACGTGAACTGAATTATAGTTAGTAATCCATAGGAGAAATCAATAATACTTGCTGGTAATTTGTGATTATCATCGTTGTGAAAAAACGTTGAAATTCCTGTTACACGGAACAGCGTTGGTAATAGTCAACGACTGGATGATAATTGCGTAATTAATTGATTGACAACTGTAATACACGTTGCTACAATTTGAATATTGCATGATAGATTGAGATGGTAATACTAGCAATGTTTATCCAATGCCTTATTAAAATTGACAGGTACAGGAAAGGTGACATTTTCGGTCATGTTAAAAGACATTTATTGTTAAAATTGAACTGTGATCATAGTTCAAGAAATGATTTAGAAATTGATTCAAAATTAGAAGTTCGTGACAATTACCGCGCGCGTGTGGTGTCAGGGTGGCTCTCTCTCTCTCTCTCTCTCTCTCTCTCTCCCTATCTCTCTCTATCTCTCTCTCTCTCTCTCTCTCTCTCTATCTCTCTCTCTCTGTCTCTCTCTCTCTCTCTGTGTGCGTGCGTGCGTGTGTGAGTGTTTGAACAACGATGAGTAGGGGAATGGGGTTAATGGACTAAATGATTATTCTTGAAGATGAAATTCAATGGAGAATACACCAGATGTCAGATTGCAATCTGCCCTACTACGGCACGGGGTTATCGGGTCAAATTTAAGACACCCAAGACGTAAACGTGGACATTTCGTGAAAAAGTCGAATTTGGTAAAATCAAAATGGCTGACTCAAGGACTCTATCAGGGTATTGGGTCTCGTTGAGTCGGCGGCCAGTGCTTTGATAACATAAAAAAGATCACCGTTTCAAACTGTCGTAATCTTTCTTTCTTTTACAAAAGGTTAAATGCAGTCCGTTTTCAGGGTTTACCCATTCATCGCCTCGCCGTGTGCGCTCACTTCGACCATCACGTCTCTCCGTCACTACGGTCTGCTGGTATGAACAACACCCACTGGTTATTGATATAGCTTTATGATGATTAATATTAAATGTATGTACATACCTGGAGTTTTACCCACACCGATTCTGGTGTTAGTTATAGCTGTTGATCATCGCTGTGGCTGTGGATACACTTATCTTGTTGGACGTGGCTTTTGGCGGTTGCTCTTCTCCATTTTCCAGAATTAACACTTTACCAAAATATTACATTTGCGCTTCTTCGCGACCTGTTGTATTGAGGCATGCTCATGATTCAAGGGGCGTGGGTGGCACGGTAAGGCACTGAGGCGTGCCAGGAATCCTTTATAGTGGGTTGGCTTCACGGTTCGCCCGGGTTGTTTGTGGGTTAGTCAGCACTTTACCGGTACTCGTGGGTTTCGTCTGAGACCTTTGGTATTCCCTCCAATATCAGTCTGACAAATTGTGATTCGAGTGAAAAACTTATCACAGCGGCGTTAAGCTCCACTCACTCACTCACTCACTCACTCACTCACTCACTCTACAATGCAGTTCCAACATCATTCGCATGAGAGTTCTATTATCATATATCTGTTGATGCAGGCAGACGTTTTGTAGTCATCGCAATGAAACCACAACTAGAGTATGTTGATAAGATGTGAAGTAAATTTGCTAAATCAAACATTACGTCCCATTCCTAAGTTACTGTTCGACAACCATATCAGAATCGATATCAATTACGGCATTTTTCGATATTCGGAAACGATATTAAACACGGCATTATTTGACATCGGAACCGATATTAAACTCGACATTAATAGATACTGAAACCGGCATTATTAGGTATCGGAACCGATATTAAAGTCGACATTATTCGACATCGAAACCGACATTAAAAACGGCATTATTCGATATCGGAACCGACATTAAACACATTATTAGATGTCGGAACTGACATTAAACACCACATTATAAGATACTGAAACCGACATTAAATACGACATTATTAGGTATCGGAACCGATATCAAACTCGACATTATTAGACATCGAAACCGACATTAAAAACGGCATTATTCGATATCGGGACCGACATTAAACACATTATTAGATATCGGAACTGACATTAAACACCAAATTATAAGATACTGAAACCGACATTAAATACGACATTATTAGTTATCGGAACCGATATTAAACTCGACATTATTCGACATCAAAACCGACATTAAATACGGCATTGTTCGATATCGGAACCGACATTAAACACATTTTTAGATATCGGAACCGACATTAAACACATTTTTAGATATCGGAACCGACATTAAACACATTATTCGATATCGGAACCGACATTAAACACATTATTCGATATTGGAACCGACATTAAACACATTATTCGATATCGGAACCGACATTAAACATGGCAAGGGTAGAAATAGGAACCGGCATTATTAGCTATTGAAACCGACAGTAAACATGACAATATTCTTTGTCGGAACCGACATTAAACACGACATTAGTCGAATTGAACATATGATAGTGAAATAATTATGTCTGAACAATACTAATAGACTGCATGTTTTCAGAATGAGAGTTTGAATGGACTTGTTTTATAATGACCTCACGCGTACGCAGCCTTTGACTACTAATAACTACAGTTCATCAAAGATAACCGACCGTGTTCTGAAAAGTGACCTTAGACTACTTGTATGAGAGTAGTAAAAACCACCACTACATGCCTCTAAGACCCTTGGCGACAAGAACATCTCAGTTTTCAGAACTAGCTAAGCGCCATTTCCCTACGAACTGTTTGATCCTGATGCGTGTTCGAATCTTCTTAAGGTGTTGAAATGTCGCTCTAGGTCATTAAAATCGTAAAGCCAGCTTTGTAATATCCATATAAATTGGCTGTCCTGTGCGGCACGTTTTAGATCTTCGCTCTCAAAGATTTTCTTGAGTAGAAGCAGAATTTCAAGTCGGCAGTCGCATGGCGAGTGCGTTTTAAAAGAATTATGTGAAAGTGAATTTCAATACGACAATAGCATGGCGGGTTTATTTTCGTAAACTCTTAAGTGAGTTATGCGAGAAGACTTTTGAATAAAACAACTGCATTCTTTTTTCTCGGAAGATTTAAGGGAGTTTCTTTAAGTGACACTAAGAAAAGTGCGTAGTTCGCATAATATGATCTATCTCTAAAGGGTAATGTTAGAAAATAATGTGCATTGACGCTAAATAAAAAATGACCTCAGTGATCACACAAGCGATTATTCGGTAAATCACGAGAATGTATTTAAGCTGATATTTTGTTAAGCATAACAAAACAGCTATAATGTCGAATAGATATAAGAGAATAACGAGCCTGCTTTATCAACTGAAACAGATTCCATTTGACGTAAATGGCATAATGTCTGTGAAAGATATGGTTATTCCATGTATCACAAATTGAGTATCTCACAACAGTCCGCTGTTTTCAATCTAGTAACGTTTTCAATTGTTGGGTCAAATATCATTTTCCAGTCAATACTTGCTTTTGCCCTGCAGTTTACTTGAACAAAATAAGGGATGTATTCTAGATTGAATCTCTGGCTGGAGTGTAATGGACAGTCTAGTTAAAATATTCTTGACACGAAGATAGTTTTCTGTTTACTGTTTTAACTTTCAAATGTCAGTTTTTATATTTGATGAAATATTTCTCCTAAAATTGAATATTTCACTGAACCAAAACCAACACCAATCGCCAAGGCAGGCATGACATGTTTGCATTTTTTCAAAGAGATACAATCTTCTAAATAACGATTGAAGGTTTTAAAGGGAAGACGACCAATTGTTCTCAAATGAAGATTGCTGTCTAATATCTCGCCATTGCCCCCTGGTTAAGATGAAGATTCTTCTGCTTTGACAAAAGCAGCGATGCTGGGACTCAAATGGTCCTGCAAGACACTTCATCCAGCCAACAATTGTCTGGGATCGATATTAGACCGTTCAGCATTCACAAGCTAAACACGCTCTCGTATGCCTTTGCTATGCACGAGAAATGCAGAAGAATTCGTCGATTCTGCCATTGATTGCCAGGGTTTCGCGCGCAGTGACGTTTCTATCCCTTGGGTATTCACGTAATTATCATCCTGAAGCCGGCGAGCCTCTTCCCGCGCATGCGCAGTGGCGGCATCTGCAGCAAGTGGCTACTGTCGTCTGCCTGCACTGGTATCGAGTGATACTGTCAAAATATTGGAGAATCTTTGGAATAAGGGATATTTTCACAGGGAAAAAATGACGGAAAGCACGGAAACTGACCCTCCAAGATGGAATCTGATACAGTTTGGACTGTTGTGTTTTTATACCATGGGTTTCAGCGGAATGACCAGCATACCGTACTATATCCACAGACACACAGGTAAGTCCCATAGTAACTTGTCCATGTGAGACCGCGGTCCATGAACAGCAGATACAGCGCTGCTTCACTATGAGAGGGGCTTGTGCTCCGCTGGGAAGGGCATTTAACATAGAAAGACCTAGGAAGTTCTTTATTTGCAATTTTGACATTTTGTCTGTAGCGTTCTGCGTTTGTATGGATGTGCATCTTACCATATCTCGGATCATTCAGCTTTGCAGATATAGATATGTCCTTAGGCATTCTATATGGGAGGGATTGATCCATTTCAATTTTCGTCTTTGTAATCAGATTCCTTGTTTGAAAGCACATTTGATGTGACGAGAACGTAACATTTTCAATTTCTTAATAATATTACAAGTTTATATAATTGTGCTCATGTGGTATCTACGATAGATCTATGTATATAATTGGATTAATTGCATATTCGATTACATTTAATTTGATAAGCCTTGCTTGGATCTTATCTCATAGACAATTACACATTCGTAATTTGCGTTATCGTTTTAGGGATGATCATTTGACAAATCTTATCGTTTTTTTAGTGATTTGATCAAATATTTGCGTTTTGGAATGCTATTATCTTCAATGATTTATTGGTTTGAGCTAGCGAAATTTTTGATATTCAAACACACATCGTGATGTATTCATTTTGTCGGGTCAGAACAGAAAACATGTTAGTGATATACAAGGAAATCTCACATAGTCCAACATCCAAGAAACATTACTACGTTGTGAGTCATACTAACTGTATAGTATGTCCTGGACAAAGAACAGCATCAGTTATTTTACTAAATTGTAGTCATAAATGTAGAATTCTGTAGAATGCTTAAATTAACCACAGGGCGGAGAATATCCTGAATGGACCAACGTAACATCTGGGTATAAAGCCTCGTTGCCAGTCTTCCTGGATTGCATTCGACTTGGACAAAGGCACAGCATTAAATATTTCATGAAATTGTTATGATGAGCACAACATTTTCTGTGGAAAAATGAAATGAGCCCTAAAGCATACAATGTTATGAATGGATTAGGCCTAAGTCAATATTTGTCCCAGCATACTCATCTAGCACCAATTAACCGGCTACCTGATGACTAACCAGGCCCGCGTTTGGTGATTCATGTCACGTATATTTGCTGGTATTGATTAAACAGATAGGTAGAACCCAGGACAGCACTCCACGAGTGATAACACATTCTCATTGAAAATGTAAGCCGGACTTTCGCAGCATATGGAGCCGATGGCAAGAGAGGTGGTAAAGGGTCTGTTCCACTTGGTTCCATATGGGCATTTTCGGTGATAAATTTGGGAAGCGGTTGAGGCGCAGGCAGGATTTTGTAGGTGGTGTACTCAACCATGACACATAAATACACAAGTGTGAATGAGACAGGTTGGTGTGAATTCTAAACGTCAGAGAATAATTAAGTTTTGATATCTGCCGAAGCAGATTTCATAGGGAGTAAAAATATTGATAAAAATAATATGAATGTAGCACTAGAAGATAGAGATAACACCAGGTGAAAGGGCAAGTGTGCCTGTCCTACTCTACCGCAGAACCCGTCCCTCACTGGGGTATCTTGGAGAGGGGTATTGGACCACACTACCCCTTCATTTTCTTATCCGTCAGTGTATTAATGTTATGCTACTCAAAAGAAGTTGAAGAACATCCGATTTTTTCATATGACTATTGTTAACCTGTCATGTCCATTTTTCACATGACTATAGTTAATCCGCTATACCCATGACGGATTAGAGCGGTGGGGTAACCAAGTGGTTAAAGCGTCCGCTCATCACACCGAAGACCCGAGTTCGATTCCCCATATGTGTACAACATGTGAAGCCCATTTCTGGTGTCCCCCGCCATGATATTGCTGGAATATTGCTAAAAGCAGCGCAAAACCATACTCACTCACTTAACATCATGACAGATTAACTATAGTCATATGAAAAAAGTGTGTTCTTTAACTTGTTTTGGGTAATATATATTACCCAAATATGCGCAGCCTTAGAGTCAGTTTCACACCTAAAGTGGAGTAGAAGTTGTTGTGGCATCAGCCATATTGCAGCCTTGTTCGTGTTTAGTATAAAGGCTCGCTTGACTGTTTGGCGGCCAATGCTCTGATCTGTTAATGGCACGAAATGTAGTCTCATGTCAAACCGACATGAATCTATGTATCTGAGTGTAGTTTGATTCTGGAGCATATTATACTTCACTGAGGACCACTGTCCCGGGATTGGATTACAATCAGCTGTTTCTTCGGATGCATTGATGGCAACAATCGCATGGAACATTTGGAGCTTTATTACCCATAAGGGTAGAATGATGGCGTGAATAATATTCCGCTTTTTGCACTTGTGAATTGTAGCGGTTTTTCATGCTGATTGAAGCCATATGACGTCCTAGTGCTTCAGAGAAAAAGACATGACGTCATACCTTGTTCATGACGTCACAAACTGATAACATTACATCTTCTGAACAATAGGCTGCCTTCAGTGAAGTTTTTTTTCTGTAGGGTTGACATTTCATTCAAATCTTATTCATTTTCTCTCGTAGAATGTGAATGAGTAATATATGGAATAATCTATTCGTAACTCAGAATTACGGATTATCTGTCCCTCGGGATTAACACCATGCATTCACTCAGGGCAGATAATCACGAATTCCTAGTTTGTTATTCACTGAATACATGCATTTCAAAACAAGCCATTTCCGTCATGAAGGATACCAGTGTGTCTATTAGGGGCTCGGCTAGGGTTGCGAGAGGTTGACTAAGGTCACAACGAAACATGTTAGTCGGGCCGCTTGGGGCATTATTTCAGTTATATGAGTGAGTTTGATTTTACGCCGCCTTTAGCAATATTCCAGCAATATCACGGCCGGGGACACCAGAATTGGGCTTCACACATTGTACCCATGTAGGGAATCGAACCCGGGGTTTTCGGCTCAGTTATATGATATCATGTGCATGTGATAGGTGCTTACAAACCAAGAATCTTTATTTGTGCGAATGTGGATTCGAATCCACAATTCTGGTATGCCTTAAGTATTTGTTTGTTTGTTTAACGCCGCACTCAGCAATATTCCAGCTATATGACGGCGGTCTTTAAATAATCGAGTCTGGACCAGACAATCCAGTGACTGACATCATGAGCATCGATCCACGCATTTGGGATACGATGACATGCATCAACCAAGTTAGCGAGCCTGACCACCCGATCCCGTTAGTCGCCTCTTACGACATGCATGGGTTACTGTTGACCTACTCTACTCCGGATCTTCACGGGTCTGCCTTAAGGAGGTCTTTCTGCACAACAAATTTTGACTGAGTATGGGTTTACGCTGCTGTTAGCAACATTCTAGCAATAAACTGGTGAGGGGCCCAAGTAACAGTCTCCACATTGTACCCATATTGGGAATGCGTGACGAGCTAAGCTTTAACCACAAGGCTACCCCCTCGCCTGCTAGCATTTTGAACAAGAACGAGACCGAGAACCTCGAATTATTGAACAGCGTTATCTTCGGAACTGAAATCAGTTATCAGCGTGTGCTTACTTCACGTACCACAGAACTGTAACTAACCCTGCCACTAATACAGGTTAATCCCAGCATATGGCGGCCATAAAACGTTGAGCAAAGCCAGCCTTGAATCCGTGCCCGTTACATAGCGATTGATTTACATTGTAGAATGGGCCTGTTTTATTGCAGTGTACATTTGGTCTGCTTAATGCATATGATAGAAGTTCGTTGTGTGTCAATATTATATTTCTGGCTTAATGGTAATTGGAACGGAAGTATGCAGGAATCAGGACCAGAATTCACTTTACACTGACACTGTGTCTGGGTTGAATTGATTCATGCATAAAACGGAGTATTTTATTTCCTTCCGAAACCAGTTTGATTTAATATATTTGTTGGGTGGTATTTGCTGTACGTCCTTCTTGTATTTCTTGTATAATTTGGGAATGTTCAGAGGAATATGGAAATATTATCGTTTACTGTGTCATTACTCCCTTGACCTATGGTTATGTGCTCGTTACATAAAGTGGTTGGAAAGGAAACTCTTGTATTAACACTATGCTGTATCTGCTGCAAGAATATGTAACTCCAAGAGGCATGACAACAATACACTCTCTAATGCAAACAAAGACACAGAGAGTGTAAAGTCCTTTAAAGGAGCTGTTTCAGCTGTAATAAATCACTTCCAGTGTTTGGGCGGTAGGGTAGCCTAGTGGTTAAAGCGTTCGCTCGTCACGCCGAAGACCCGGGTTCGATTCCCGACATGGGTACAATGTGTGAAGCCCATTTCTGGTACCTCCCGCCGTGATATTGCTGGAATATTGCTAAAAGCGGCGTAAAATCAAACTCACTCACATGTTGAATCACGGCCACATGAAAGATAATAGAGCAGTGGGTAAAGTATCGACATTAACACCACCATCCATACATCACTGCAACGAACACAACTTCTTTATGCAAGTTGTGTAAGTGATGGGTTCTACCGGTAGGGCAGGTCACGCATACCCGTTCCTCGAGCACCTGTGTTCTCACTAATATCCAATGGTCCATACGTATAGTGTTCACCGCTGCTTTGACTTTTATGCTCCGTGATCTGTTTCAGCTGGTAGTGGAGCCAGTTCTTCTTTGGTGTTGACGTAATATTTTTAATGAAATGGTACACTAAAATTGTTGTTTCTTAAGCGATTGTTTTTTCTCTTTAGAAATAGTTGATGTTACCATACATCTCCACGTGTAAGAATATAGTTAGTGGTTTTAGTGTGGTTCAAGGGTTCTGTGAGGAAGTCATGATTTTAAAACACTATTGGTAAAATACCAGAACGTGCGCAACAAACGAAACCCGATGGTTAATATATCAGAGGAAGGGCACGTTGAAATCAGCACATCAACTTTGATACACGTACGTTTCATTTGTCTTGTGATATTGCCTTCCTGACTTGTCTGGGCCAGGAGAGCAGGTCAAAATATTGGCATTTGTGTCTATGA